TGTCATATAACAAATTTTGTTCGAAATGAGCTGTCTTACTTTGTGAACAAATTATGTTCACACGGTGAATGTGAAGACAATTTCTTAAGGGATATGACAGCCCATAGTCAGGTAGATTATTACCGATGTTTCGCAGGAATTTTCTGCCTCCGTTGTCATGGTTTAACATTATTATTCTTGACGATAAAAGTAGCTGTTTCGTCCGAATCTTCGATAGCAAAGTTCAAAATTAAGTTTGGCTTTAGCGTGACGAAAAGTACGGATTGTATTGTATCTATAGGAATCGAAATTATTTTTTACATAACAATTTTAGTGTAGATTCCCAGTAAAAGAATTCACAGTGAATTCCGTCATATACTCTCAAAGGTGAAACTCACATGCGAAGATACAAACATGTTATCTCACAATTTATTAATACTGGCTAGGTACTACAAGTATACGGACGTTTCAGAGGACCACACTGCCTCCAATATCAGTGTCAAAAACGAAGCCAAGAAAGCAAAGAGGAAGAAGGAAACAGTACTATTATTCAGGTTTATGCCTTCAGGGATATAACGTCGTGTAGTTCGTTGAAAGTCAACAGACGTTTCAGGAGAACATGTCGTCTCCATTTTCCAGGTTTAGGATTAAGCCCAGCAAGAAATCAGCATGAAGCAGCGAACAGATCTTTCAAAACCCCTATTCTCGGACTCAATGTGGAGGTAGTGAACTTGTACCAGACTATATTGCGTCACATCTCAGAAGATAGTACACTTCATAGCCACCGCCACGAGAGCCTGAAATCTAATATGTAAGTTACAGGCTAATGGGACCTGTTTAACTCCTCTACCGTGAAGATGTAGACAGTAAGTTCACCCGAAACACTGCTACTGCCTGCTAACACTATACGCTGTCACAATTCAGAAGATTATAATCTTATCACTTCCGCTATGAGAACTTAAAATATCAAGGCAATAAATAATAATTTAGTAAATCGTTTCTTGTGTTTTGCTGAGTGTACATGACTGTAATGTACGAAGCAAGAAGTTTACATGTACAAACGTTTCCGAAATGTTTAAGAAGTTCTGATGTCTTATGGCAGAAAGCGATTTTGTCTTTTTCAGCGAACCCATTACACAGCAACAGCAGATGGTAAGCAGACGTTAAAACGTTAACTTTCTCTTTTCTTCATGGGGGTATTCAAATGCTTTCACTTTCATTTGCTCAGTTTATAAGAAGTCATAGAATAAACTGACGGCAACGTAAGACAGGTCACTGTTCTCTGTCACGACACATAACCGGTTTCCCCTTGTCGCTCCATATAGGAAACACATAAAATTACAGAACAGTAAAATAGTAACGACTCCATGTCAGTATATGTTGGTCTTCTGTGGTGCAACATCGTATGGTCTCGTAGGTGGATGTCTCCATTTTTAGAATGTGAAATTTATGCTGTCTTCAATCATATGACAACGCATAGATTCGTAGATGTTGTCGGTATTTCGGGTGAATATCTTACCTGAGTCTTCAGGAAGTAAAATTTTATTGGTACTTGCTGGGATATAACACTGTCTTCTGGTAGGGGGTGGCGACGTTTCAGATAAATGTATTACCTCAATGTTCACCCACTCACAACCCTATGGGCCTCTAGCCTGCTACAGGGATAGCTTTACCTTTTTGCAAGCAAAGCCGTTTGTGATTTATTTTAAACTTACAGATTACTAGTGACGTTCTGGAACCAAATTTAAGTCTTGTGACGGTGTGTGATGACCTCTGGCAGGATATTCGGGAGCGAAAAGTACAGGTCTAGGCAAATCTTTGTACGCTGCCTACTGTTCGTGTTTTGAATTATCAAATATTTAATCCCGTCTTCCTTAACTTTGGTAAATATAGCAATTATCCAACGCTCTGCCCGGATATCTGTTGTTACCGTTAGTAGCGGTAACAGAAATGTACCTGTGCTTGACCCTAAGGCAGCGTCTACACGAGCGCACAAAATGCGTCCGTTGTAACGAACGTACCTTATGACGGACGTTGCTGAGGACACCACACAGTTACAGAATTCGGTGCATAGTTTTTTTTTTGTCTGCAATGGAGCCAGAAGAAAACGTAGCATTCGCCTCTCTTGTTTATTTCTACAACTGACGTCACGACGTTCGTTACAACGGACGCATTTTGTGCGCTCGTGTGGACGCTGCCTAAAAGACACGATGGTTATTATATGTATCACACGCTTTAGTATCGAAAGAACTCAACATTTTTTCCTCAGCGTGTGTTCGTGTGTTTCATGTGAATCGCACAATATGCAAATATTCTTTCCCCAAACAAAATTAACTGGTTGGTATTTGTAATGGAACCCCATTGTGTTTGTTTTGAGGTAGGAACAGAGATTTTAGACTACTTTCCTTATTCTGGAACAAGAAGTTCTGGGGAAAACCAATCATCTGCTTTCCTTTCACTACATATCGTGTGGTAGGGTACGGATAACATAGAAAACGCCTCAAACACAGTTCATGTGTTGTTGCTTGTGTATTTGTTGCAGCGGGAACGTGTTTACCGAGCCGTCGCCAAGGAAAGGGCATCTTTTCTGGCTTCAGAAAACACCTCTCCCACCAGTTCTTCTATTTTTGCATCATATGGCTGTTTCTTTTTTTTTTTTCCTTTCCCCCTTGGCACTACAGCCCCAGTGGGCCTAGGCCTACTTCCATGAACTTTTCCGTTCACATCGGTTTTTCTAGATCTTATACATTCGGTAGGACTCCTTGGGCGGGTGATCAGCTCGTTGCAAGGCCTCTACCTGTACACAAACACAGAAAAACGCACACACACAAACTAAACATCCATTCCCTGAGTGAGATTCGAACCCACGATCCCGGTTTCCAAGCGAGCGAAGACAGTGCATGCCTTAGACCGCTCGGCTACCGTGACCGGCATGGCTGTTTCTAGGACCACATTAAAGCACCATTCTTCTGTTGCTGTTCACTCCCCTCACATAGGAACGTCCGTTTTTTACAGTCATTTCATAGCAACGGGTCTACGTTCTGTAAGGACATTTACTTTGTACGTAAGTCACCTATCAGTGAATGTCATGTAACGGCAACCAGCTGGTTTCCAAGATGGTAATACATGATTGTGGTTACCATTGTGGTAATGGTCTGGCCTACGTTAGTCTTGGAAATGTCAACCTTGGTTCTTACTGCGGGAGAAAACCATTTCAAGTTGTCAGGCTTCCTGTACTTTATGGGTTAAGGCTATACAAACAAAATCTAAGAAATTTAAATATGGTGAAAACTTCCTCCACGTGTTTCTTGGTTATGTAATTCTCACAAAATTCCAATAGATTTCACACGCTGTGACATACAGCGATGTTTTTGTAAAGGTCGAAATTTTAGACATATGGAAATTTTAGGGTGAAAACTAATTTTAATACACATACATTTATTGCTGTTTTTTTTTACTGCACACGAGTTTCTGCGCTAAAACGGCGTCTTAAGTTTACATAACGTAGATGTATCTAATTGAAGACTAAACGAGGAAAGAAAATCATTGGACATACCAAACCGACGATCTGGTATTAAATTTTCATACTTGGAAGTTACATCCAGGGCCGGAGCAATGCTCATTAGCCGGATGTTCATGTATAGAACTTTTCAACTACATTAAATGGTTTTGTGAGCTACTGTAGACAAGGGCTGCGGAATTTTGATTTTTCGATTAATTGTGATTTGCATAAATTAGGAAGATAGTATGGTGATCTCCACAGAAATAAATTAATAATTAATCATGGTTTTCTTCGAATCCTGCATTTGGGCGGACGAGGACAGTTCATGTTTCAGATCGCGCGGCCACTGTAACCGGCAGGGAGCATTTCATAGAAGGAAAATTTCTTACAGTGACGGTTATGAAGAGTTCTGTCTTCTGAAATATGACGTCATTAAGTTTTAACGAAATATACGACGATAGCATTAACGGATGGACGGGATTTGTTGACGATTTTTATGCTGCATGTTTTGCCACCTTGGCAGTCACTAGCGAGATTTCGTCTTACGAGAATTACCAAAGCTACTGGAAGATGTACCAGTGGCAGTCGCAGTACGAATGTGCTACGCGCATGATGGTATCCCAGATAATATCAGCCATGCTGTGCGCGATGTTCCCAGTAACACCCATTATGACCAATAGATAAGCAGAGGAGAACCCAATGAATTCTCTGGAATTTTGCATGTGGGGACACGTAAGAGCCCCCTGTAATACACGAACATCGTCATAACTAATTTTGGTTAAGTTTTATTCTTTTTAATGTCCCAGAATTTCTGTCGAATTTGTTATAAATTTTCACCATAAAATATTAAACGGTGTCGAAGTATTTTATAAAATGAAGTTCTTTCATAATTGGAATTTTAAGAGTTCTGTCTTTTGTNTTTTTAATGTCCCAGAATTTCTGTCGAATTTGTTATAAATTTTCACGATAAAATATTAAACGGTGTCAAAGTATTTTGTAAAATGAAGTTCTTTCATCATTGGAATTTTAAAAATTCTGTCTTTTGGGATATAACGCTATGCATTCCGTCGAAAGTTGACCAACGTTTCGAAGGATCATATCGCCTCCTTCTTCATTGTTGAATAGTATGCTAAACGAGAAACCAGCATGAAGCGAGTATCAAGCAGAGTTAGAGAGAGAGAGAGAGAGAGAAATAGGATTGCACATGCGTATTGCGATCCGTTCCATTATTACTGGAAGAACAGCTAAAAATATTGAATTCGCTACGTGACAAACATTGTTACTTGTGAATTTGTTAGAGATATTAATCAGGAACGGTATTTTGAAGTTTAGTTTGCGGTTACTGATTGCTCCAAAGTGAATCACATATTTATTTCTTAGTGTCAGTGATATGATGACTCCTGGAGAATTAAAACAAATGACGAATTATATAGCATAATAAAAGGAACGCAGTTAACTTCATCAGAGCCCAAAGAATAATTTGGCTTGGACACATCTGAACGATGGAGGCTGGACGAACAGTTAAAAGCATATTTGACTGGCAGCCACACGCTGTAAGAAAGAGAGGCAGACCTAAGATCAGATGGAAAGGTGACGTAAAGGAAGATGGAATTTATAACTGGACAACTCACATACAGGACAGAAGTAGTTGGAAGGAAATTGTTTTGCAGGCCAAAGCGTTCAAGAAATGAGGCTGTCGAGCCTTATGATGAAGTGTCAGTGATTTGTTGAGAGTTGTGTCCAGTTATCTCAAGGAGAAAGCTACAGCGTGAAGCAAATGAAGTAGCGTTTATGGGAAAAGTAACTATGCAGTACCGACTGTCCCAATAGAGGAAGCACAGCAGTGGTTAGGAACTCTTGGTATTTTTGTTACTGTTAGTGGGGTGGGACTGTCCCTTGTACCGCGGCCACTTCTGGTCTATTGTACCAGCACCAGATGATAGGTGAGGGTGATAGTGGAGCAATTGGTGGAATGAAGATTGGCAGGGGAAACCGAAGTACTCGGAGAAAACCTGCCCCAGCGCCACTTTGTCCATCACAAATCCCACTTGACCAGACCCGGGATCGAACCCGGGCCGCCGCGGTGGGACTAACCGCTTGAGTTATGGCTCGGCACTCTGTGCCTATTCTTAGTGTTCTTCTAAGTTTTGTCACCCATAATGTGAGAATGTGGTATTTCATTAGTGAGTAACATTTATTCTCATACCACATTGCACAAAAAGTTGCATGTACTCCCATGTCATGCTTTCAGGAAATAGAAGCTAACAAAACGAGTGCGAGTATGACAGTTTGTTGGATGTCATTTTTGTGATCAGCGTACTTGATTTAGGGAATACCTGCTTATTTTGCAAATTTTATCATAAGAAATTAAAATTTATTGTGCTGTAACTTTACAGTTTATTAATAAACTTCACACGGCCTGCAATCACGCAATTTAATCTGGAAGGAAAATAGTCCGTGCTTTGTCATAGCCACCCTCGTTCATTTCTTGTACTGCTTAGAAGTCAATGTTGACGTTTCGATGTAAATATTTGTGCCGCAAGAAAACAAAAGAAGGTGTAAGTGTCGTGTAACGTATGGGTCGCGAGCTTCATGTTCTGTTGCAATATATCTGTGGCAGGTAACTTTCAGGTATTCAGAAAACGATGAATAGACAGACAATTTTTAACTGACGGTTATTAAACATGAGATAAACACTATCCAGAGATCACAGAAATTAAATTATCCATATCATTTTGATCTACCGCATACAAAATGAGGATCTCTCCAATTTTACCGCAAAATTTACAGACACTTACTGTCAGTAAAATGAGTCTCTCTGCGCTGAAATAATTTCTTCACATCCTACACGGTTTCATCAGCGACGCGGTTACGAAAGGAAATCTTTCCCCCAAAGAAGCATAAATTTGGATTGAAACTGCTTACTCAACGAGAGGAGGTAATTCAATTTTGATTGATCATTTCAATAACATTTACGAAATTTTCTTTGAGCAATTCTAAGAGAAATCGCCGTCATATACCAACTGGAGCAGGATTAAGTGTTCTGCGCAGGCGCTTACTTCACAACGCGTGCTCATCTAGCGGATGGATATTGAATTACTTTTACGACTGGTATAAGGAAAAGACTTTGACAGATTAGGCACCTTTCGATATATGTGGCACTACTGTTCAGTCAGTGAGTATTGTCATTAATATCTCTATATGTTTATTCTATTTATATATTTCCTTCTACAATTCAAAAATAATTTATAAAATTACGATTGTTTTTCAGTAACAGAAAGAACTAATCGACTTCTAGCTTCCTGAATGATCCTTCGAACCCTAAAAGGTCGCTGTTGCTGAGACTGTCAGGTCTTTTAGACTCGTCTGACCTATATTGTTCACGTTCCAGGAATACATCGTGATAACTCTCCATCTTCTTCAGCCAGCGATCTGCAACATAATTATGGAAATATCTATTCAGTAATTTTACATAAATTTACGTATTTGCTATTAATGTTTAGTTTTTCATTACTAGTAAATCAAAAAAATACCTGTATAATGTGGAATGATAAGGTGGTTGGTAAATTGGAATGGATTTATGTAAGATTTGAGGTTTTCGCGGCGGTGACTGTAAAGAATGCCGTCTTCTGGAATGGATTTAGATGAATGGAGTTAATACAGCCTGAAAGTTTGTGACGATCATATATTAATACCATTGTTTTTTTTAATAACGTTTCTGAAACTGGATTCTGTCACTGTCCTTATGTAAGAGGCTACTCAATTGGGCCTATCCTATAGAGCTGGTCCTTGTCCCATGACTTGAGAATGGGGACAGAATCCAGTCTCGGAAACATTGTTCCTAAATAGAAAAGAGGACGATGGCTAAGGTCCGAAAATTCAGTAATTGTTTGAAGTACTTCATGAATTTTCCATGAGAAACTAAGGACAACAACGAAGAAACTCAGGCAAGGTTGTTGATGATGATTCTGCGAAATAAGTCTGTGTAGACCAGCGAAAATGAAAAGAACCTCGGAGGAATACGTCAGCAATTGGTTGCAGTCTGACTCTTGCTGGTTTCTTGCTTGATTTGTATTTCGAACTTGAAGAGGGATGTATCTCTATCTCTATCGTCAGCTCGTATCATTCTGACGAAAAGATTGCCCCGTTTATAAGAGATTCTAACATTTAAACCTCCCGCGAATTAGCCAGGTCTCAAGTTATTAAATAGCTGCATAAATTCGAGACTGGTTATCCACTAATTGAGATCAACTCTTTCTAAGGGGCACAAATGAGTAGGTGTCTGCTCACACTTCACCTGAGGATGGAAACATCCAGTTTCCAAAAAAATCGTGTTTCCTATTCTTTGGAATATCGGACGACGGAAAAAGTCCAAAATCCAGTAATTCTGTATTTTCTTTCCCCTTGGCACTACAGCCCCAGTGGGCCTAGGCCTACCTCCATGAACTTCTCAGTTTCACTTCGGTTTTTCTAGATCTTACACATTCGGTAGGACTCCTTGGGCGGGTGATCAGCTCGTCGCAAGGCCTCTACCTGTACACAAACACAGAAAAACGCACACAAACATCCATGCCCTGAGTGGGATTCGAACCCACGATCCCGACTTCCGAGCGAGCGAAGACAGTGCACGCCTTAGACCGCTCGGCTACCGTCACCGGCCAATTCTGTATTTTAACTTTGTATTTTTCAGAATCTGTTGATAATGATTTGTATGTGATTATGCGAAGTGAATCTTCATTTATTGTAATAGATGGAATATTCATTTGATTATATTGCGATATTCCACGTGTACTGCAGGAGGAGGTAGTCCACCTGTACATATATCGCAAGTATTCGTACATACGTATCAACTGTCAACAAACGCAGTAGTACTTGTTGGTGACGTTAAAGCACCGCTATTTGTACTGTGTCACTTTTAAGCGGTATTCGTATAATTAAATGTAATGTCCGGACGTTTAAACTCACAAGTATCAGGTGTCGAAGTTGTCGACATGTACATACAGTGGTATATCTGACAGCATGTGACATCTATTGGCATTTTATCTGAACTACATAATCGAGAAATATTTAGAGGTATATTTTCGCTGTATTTGAAGTTGTTTTGAAAAGGTAAAAGGTAAAGTTGTCTTTATGCTTAGCTGATTAAGCACTACGCCAAGAAGGCGTATGGGGGAGTGGGTGTATAGATCCACATTTTCTTGACTTCGGCACTAGTTGGTGGTGAGTGGTCGATTTTACGCCCCTGCCACTTTACCACAGGGGAAAGAGCCCCCGGTACCCGATGGGTATAAGGTTGGGTGGACCACAGAGCCGGTCTCGACGATTTGGAGAAGAGGAAATTCTTCACCCTACCGAGACTCGAACTCCTACCCCAGCATAAAAATTGCTTGCCTACGAAGGGAGAGAAGCTGTGACGAAAGCTGGCAAAATGAATGGCCTCTTCATCTTCATAGATTAAGCCGTACGTCCTCTTGAAGAGTGTGCTGATCCCTCCATCTTAACTGTGGGACGTATGTTTCGTCTTCTTTTTAGGTTGTGTGTTAGAATATTCTTCGGAATCCACCAATTTTCCATTCGTTCCGCGTGATATTTTCAGTGTGATCTGGGTTTTAGTATTTTAGCATTTAGATTAAAATATCCAGACCTTCCCTGACTATATTATTTTTTATTTTGTCTTTCCTTGTGTGACCAGTTCCATTTCTCCTCCCTGTTTTTTTTTCTTATAGTCCATATTTTGGATCCGTATGTAAGGGCAGATCCCGCCATAACTATGTAGGATTCCATATGTCTCCCTCTTCATGACGTGTTAGTCAGTGTTCCTGTCATTGTGCTGAACATTTGATGAAATCTATTCATTTTTATTTCCCAATGTCTGTAGTTTGATACCCTAATTGTGTACTCTAAGTAATTAAAACTATTTACTTGTTCAATTATGTTATTATTTATCACTATTTTAGTTCCAATTTTCATCATTCTTCTCATCACCATTGCTTTTGTCGTATTTACTGACGTGTTCAGTTTATATTTAACAGCTGTATTGTCACAGTGGCTGCGCGGTCTGTGGCATGAACCATCTTCGTCCGCTCGAACGCTGGGATCGTGGGTTCTAATTCTACTCAAGGCATTATTAATATCTGTCTACATTTATTCTGTGTTTATGTTGCTCTGTGTGTAGGTAGTGGGACCTGCTGATCCCCCAGCCAAGGAGTGCTACCGACTGTGTATAAATTAAGAAACTGAAAAAACTGTGAAGTTTCACGAGGGCTGTAGGGCCACAGATAGGTAGATTGTTTAGTGTACACGCTGCTCGTTGCAGTTCATCTTCTGTACCTGACACTGTCACTTTCTTCGTTCGTGAATAAAATTGTGTTTAGGTTAATGCAATTATGGTAATTAAGGTTAAGGTATTTTTTTTTATTACTAGTGGGGTGGGACTAAGTCCCTTGTACTGCGGCCACTTCTGGCCTATTGTACCAGCCCCAGATGATAGGTGAGGGTGATTGTGGAGCAATTGGTGGAATGAAGATTGGCAGGGGAAACCGAAGTACTCGGAGAAAACCTCCCCCAGCGCCACTTTGTCCATCACAAATCCCACTTGACCAGACCCGGGATCGAACCCGGGCCGCCGCGGTGGGAAGCCAACGACTAACCGCTTCAGCTATGGCGCGGCCAAGGTTCAGGTAAGTAAGACTGTTCTGTACCATACCCCAGATTTCGGACACGGACCCAGAGTCTCCGCCATATTCCGTAGGAAGGATTTTCTTCGGTACTTGCTCGTAGAATGACGTCAGGTCGGTGCCATGAACGTGAATCTGGAGCAGAAGCACATTAACTTATGTCCTCAGAAATGGAGTAACCTGCGTGAATATTTTCCATTGTCTCAGCAGATATTAAAATTGACATCTTCAGGATGAATAAAAAACTTCAAAATTGTTAACATATTATTCCTGCGATCTTAATCAATGCATTAAGTATGTAAAATTGTACTCCACACCTATTATTATTATTATTATTATAAAATGAAGGCGAATGAGATGGTCAGTGCGCGCGAGAGAAGAGAAATGCGTACAGAATTTTTTGGAACACCTGACGGATAGAACCACTTAGTAGACCTAGGTGTAGATGGGAAAATAATAATAAAATAATGGTCACTTAATTTCTCATGAAGTTGGTCGCCGGCTTTCTACATCAGATGCCAGTGTTCGATCTCAGGTGAGACCATGTGGGATTTATGGTGTGCGAAGTGTCAGTGGAATCTAATATTCTCCTAATACTGTTTCATTAAGCCCATCATCGTCACTACATAGATATCTATGTCTCTACAGCTCTGATAGACCTTGGCTGCTTTTCACTTTCTTAATCCTGTTCGTAGTCAGTAAGGATCTCTAGACGGGTGATCAGCCCCTCGAAAGGCCTACACATATCATATACTCTTGATACCTCTTGATAACTGGCAGATCTGATAAATAGTAAACTAAAGAAGTAGGGAGCATATGAAAGCTGGAGGGAGGGGTGCGGATTGGATGCATCTGGCTCAGATAGGAACCATGGATGGGTTCTCGGGTTCCATTAATGACTGGGAATTTCGTGAAGCCGTAACACATAAGTGCCGATCACAGTGGCCGCGTGTCTTCGCCCACTCGAACACTGGGTTAGTGGGTTCGAATCCCACTTGAGGCGTGGATGTGTCTGTTTACTCTGTCTTTGTGTTGGTATGTGTGTAGGTAGCGGCCTTGAGGCGGGATGATCCCCTGTCCGAGGTGTCCTACCGACTCTATATAGATTAAGAAATTGAAAAAGCAGCCAAGGTCCCACAAAAGGCTGTAGAGCGATACATAGATAAATACATAAGTAAACCACCAAGTACAACTGGCTAGACTTGCAATAAAATAATCCTAATTTTTATGTCCTGAAGTCGCTTCGCTATCTGTGGCTATATTAGGCCGATACGAGATTTTATGTTCCCCCTGGTTTCTGGTATGTGATACCAGGAAATCTGGTATATTAATAATATATAATATTGTACTTACCCTGTCAGCAATTTTGGATTTGAATACGAGTTTCAGCGCCGCAATGAAAGTATCAGCATATGGCGGGGCATTCAAAATGTGTAACGCCTTAATGCGAAGATTGTACCCTCCCTGGAAGTAGATCAGCAGGAAATTTTATTTATAAATGCGCAGGAACTGACGGTCGTGTTAGTCCGAATCACTTCCCAGAAACAGAATGTATTGACTGAGGTTTCTCTTCAACGTCTCAGCCCCTCCAAAAAATTTCGGCATAGCACAGTTCCTGACCACGACCGACTTCCTCAGCATTGAAGAAAGCAGACTTCTGGGATTTGGCACCGTGTATATGTGGTGTTAACCGACGTTTCGGAGGAACCTATCGCCTCCATCTTCAGGGTAGAAGAAAAAATATAAGAAATCTGCAAGCTAAGAGACCGTGAGAACCTGTAAAAGCAGACTGTCTGCATATTTCTTGCAGATTTCTTATATTTTTTCTTCTACCCTGAAGATGGAGGCAATAGGTTCCTCCGAAATGTCGGTTAACAACACATATACACGGTGCCAAATCCCAGAAGACTGCTTTCTTCATAGTCACCGCCGTGAAAGCCTCAAATCTTCCTCAGCATTCTTTGCAACTTATTATTCATTAATCCTCCAATTTATAGTATAATTTCAGTAATTTCATAAATCGTTAAACAGATCCGAATTAAAGAGAATGGAAAAACATAATCTCTTAATGTCGCCCTTTACTGGATAATTTTATGAATTTCATGTTGATTCATATAAATATATGCTTAAACATTTTGTATAAAACATGACAAGTCTTTACATGTGAAATTTGAGGTTGTCGTTTTGTAGTACCTCACTTTCTCGCATGGAGACAATTTGTTAAAAAACTAACCAAATTTTTCGGAAGAGTAAGTCGCCTCCTACTTCAGGGTTGAAGAGTAAACCAAAGAAGGAACCACCATGAAGCAAGAAGCAAGCGAAACGCGCTTCATGCTTGTTTCTTGTTTCGCTTACTATTCAATCCTGAAGACAGAGAAGACTCGATCCTCCGAAACGTCGGTCCATTCTCAACGGGCTACACGACGTTATTTGCCTTTTTTTAACGCTAGTGAGGTGGGACTAAGTCCCTTGTACTGCGGCAACTTCTGGCCTATTGTACCAGCCACAGATGATAGGTGAGGGTGATTGTGGAGCAATTGATGGAATGAAGATTGGCAGGGGAAACTGAAGTACTCGGAGAAAACTTGACACCACTTTGTCCACCACAAATCCCACTTGACGAGACCCGGGATCGAACCCGGGCCGACGCGGTGGGAAGCCAGCGGCTAACCGCTTGAGCTATGGCGCGGCCCTCGTTATTTGCCTAAGACAGAACTGTGAGCACCTCAAATCCTGCAGCGCAAATTGCAACTTTATGTTTTCATGCATTAGTACTCGTACAGTGCGCAGTTTTCAGTACTTACTAGGGAACATAACTGGAGTTTGCGCAGAAGAGGAAGGCTAATCTTTGGAACGTGTCCCAGACTGTATTTAGCAAGATCAAGTATGTAGATATCCGAGAGGCAGTAATCCTCACATATTCTTATCTCTTGCAACAAATGTCCTATTTTGATGTGGTTCAGAGTGTCGTAGTCTGTGACGTCAAAAGTCTGCAGACCCATTATGGCCACTCGATCACAGTCTGCAGTGAGCTGAGGCAGTGGGATGTAGAATCTGTAAGGAGAGCGCCACATTTCGTATTAGTTCCGCAAAACTGAAAATGTTTGAAACTATAATATTACCTGAAGATTTATAATGTAACGGATTTGTTCTAAGCGTTGCTAGGTAACAGAACGTTAAGCACATCACAGCAACGAATGCGCAACAATAGGGCGCCTATTGCTGTGCAACGCATCGGTGGACACGCCTGAGAACAATACATGATATCCGTTGCTTAGCAGTTGATGTTTTCTGGTTCGCATGCCGGCACATGCCGATTCAGATTGGCACTGACCATATGTAAAATAGACTTTCTCTTACAGAAGGCTCTGTTATGGACCAATGAAACTGATAATCTGCTTTGCCAACAAATTTCGATGGAACTGTCCTATATTGAATTTCAGCAAAATCTTTGAAACGGTTTAAGGCATGTATGGGATAGTTCAATGAGAGACGGGATAGCGCAGTAGGTATAGCGACTGGTTACGGATTGGAAGACCGAGGGGTTGGAGTTCGAGTCCTTGTAGGGTCAGGAATTTTTTTTTCTCCAAGTGGTCCAGACCGGCTCAGGGGCTTACTCAGTCTCCTATCCAAGGGGTACCGGTGGCTCTTTCCCCAAGGTTGAAGCGGCCGGGATGTGAACCTAACCACTCGCCTCCAGCTAGTGTCGAGGTCAAGAAATGTGGATCTATATATCGAATCCCCGATACGCCTTCATGGCGTAGTGTTTAATTAGTTAAGCACAGGAAAAACTTTACTTTTTCTTATGGCCTAGTTCAGTTATGATAGTACAAGAAAATAATCTTGTTTTTTAAAACAGAATAATAGACAATCGAAATTTCATAACAGGTTTTAACGAAACGCAAATATAGCGAGTTTTAAATATAGGCATCCAGCTATCTGATCCTCGATAACGGGCCGTAAACAGACGGAAAGAGTCACTTTCTAAATGTGGTACTCTTCTTTGCTTTGTGAAGGACATATAAACAATAATTATTTACACAATATTTGTTATGGATTTGAACCAGTCTGCATGTGTGTCCCACCCCGTCATTATCTCAGGCACGTCTGTCTTCAGCGTATAGTGCAGGTCCAGCGTCCTCTTGACCTTCTCCGTGCTGTTCTTGCATCGGATGAGCCACCGCTCCAGCCTGCCATCATCTGCAACTTGAATTGCATTGTAGTGCAGAGTTCGTAAAGATATTTTCCCATTCTTACACTATCCTTGTCTTCACATTACTGTCTGAAAATTCCGAAAATGCTTCTGTTACACTGTAGCTGATCCAATAACAAATTAACTAAATAACTAACCAACAAATCAGCTAAATAAATTAACTAACTCCATCATTCTAATACCTACGAATAGACTGTGGAACCTATTTCGGCTTCACTGATGCACCACATTAAGGTTGCACTGACAGGTACATGAATGAATAATTAATTAATTCGCTTAGTGAAGAGTGGAGTCCAACTTTGGTCCACTCGCCACGGCGGCCACTGATTGGCCTATTGTAGCCTGCCCTGGGTGATTATGATGATGGAGAATTTGGTGGAATGAAAATTGGCAGGGGAAACCGAAGTACTCGGAGAAGACTTGCCCCAGCGCCACTTTTTCCACCACAAGTCTCACTTGACAGACCCGGGATCGAACCCGGGAAGCCAGCGACTAACCGCTTGAGCTATGGCGCGACCTTACATGAATGAATAAGTGAATGCAAAATGGATACAAGGAAGACTGAATGAATAAAAAAGAAATTGAATACATTTCGGACTGGATGAAGGAACTAATGTTTGTGTGTGTGCATGCTTGCGTGTAGACGGCTGGACCTGAGGAAATGTTGACGAATCAGTAATGGTATTAATGGGTGCATGAATGAATGATTAATGAATTTAAAGATGGCTACATGAAAGGTTGGTTTAATTTGATGAAGGGTGAATACAGGGTGGCTAGATGAGCAGACTCATGGGTGCTTATATTAATGGAAGAATTACTTGAGGGATGGCTTTGATGAATGCATTATTTATGGTTTCAGCAACGGAATATATGAGTATTGCAATGAAAGGTGGCGTGCTCTGGGAGTAGATATGCGAAGCTTACCAATTTCTTTAGGCAGATGAGGCTGCAGCTGTATCCAGTCCTTCAGATGTTCCACAGCTTCCCTCACTCGTTCTTCATTCAGACCAAACTCACCCCGTACTCTCTCCAGTATCTCTTTACTCGGAGGTTTTAGTAGTTCTGACGGCATCTCTCACCTGGACGAAAAAGAACGACGTGTAATGTTCAATACATAAATTTACACCTCCATGAAATATAAGAGAATACACTTGGACTTTCTGTGTACCTGCCTTTACACCACATGTTCTCAAAGTAGAATATGTGTTAGCAATAATTTATTTGTGTTTCAATGGATTATGACCTCATGCTGTCGAAATGAATAAATAAATGTCAAGTTTCATATTACACGCTTGTGACATGGCTGGTATGACGCTCATATGTATCTTGTAGAAGATACGAACAAGATGGATCCTTACAGAGCAAAACAATTGATCTTTATGTGAGTAACAAGTTTCTGAAGCGTTTATTTGCAGCTAAGAGAGAGGAAATAACAGAGGGACGGAGACAGTTGCTTAGAGAATAGGTTCAAAACGCAGTGTTTCGGAGACTGGATTCTGTCTCCTTCTTCATGTAAGACCTACTGAGCTGGGCCTAATCTAAAAAGCTAGTCACTATCTCCGGGCTAGGAATTGTTAAAAATATTAATCATAAAATCTAAAGGGTGTACCACTTATACGACCTAGACATAGATGGATAAATTATGCTAATTACACGTACATTGAAAAGATTATGTTTTTTAGATGTGGACAGAATTTATCATGTTCAAGACGAGGTCTAGTGATGAGATTTTGTGGTATCAGTGATGAACCATCGAGTTCTATAAATAGGTGATTAACTGCCTAAATGGCCGACTGTCAGCTTTTCAAGGACTGTGGTTCATGGAGTAAGTAAATTAGGTAAAATTTATAGCAGAAACTATTCATTCAAATGAGCGTGCCTATGGTCTTGCAGTGGCACCTCTATCGGTGTTCCCTAGAACTCATTCCAGCTGACGCGGGAGAGAAGCACTAACTGACGGTTACATCAGTTTTCGCAATAGCTGAATGGGAGAGGAAGCTACATTACTTGTTTATATACAAGTACATATAAGGGATTCAAGTTTCTTACTCAGAACATGAGAGTGGGGATGGAACTGATGGACAGGAACGCAGGGTGTCCTTGAACACTAATGTAAATGTTGCGTGATGTTTGGAAAGTCGCTTTTTTTTATTGCGGCCGTAAGAGCTAAATTCAAGCTCCTTCGCAGAATGATTTATTATACTCAACACATGTCTGACTTTTTATCATGTGAGCTTTGTTAACTACAACAACATAGCTTAACAAATTGCGAAATAATTGACGTAGAATCTTACAAATACTTGAGGACAAGAAACCTGTTTTAACTGCCATTTTGGAGGAGGAGGAGGAGGAAGAGGAAGATGAGTAGGAGGAAAAGGAAGGGGAGGAAGAAGAGGAAGAAGAAGAGGAGGAGGAAGAAGAAGAAGAACTGGATTGAAATTAAAATGAATGCTGAATGAGTTTGTTCTGGAAATGTAAATTTGACTGATAAGCGTCAGATCCTTTTCATCGAACAGCTATTTATGGTGTTGATTCTTTACTTGATTCTTTACTTGTCATCACCAAGCAGTTAGTTATTCAAGACGGTAATTGTTACTTATTTTGTTAGGTATTTCCCAACAGTTAGTACCAATATCCATACATATATATTTACAGTTTTCTTGACCTAAGACCGTAATATTTCACCTCCTGTTTGAATTAGTTCTGCAATAATTTAATCACTATCTAGAGACTTAAGCTTACTTTTAAATAACAATTTCATCCCAAAAGAACTACGCTCAGATACTAAATGGTTAGATGTACATTTCTATCCCCGTAGCATCAGTGACCCTATGTACATTCAAAAACTGTGAGAAGTTGCTCTTTGATTTACCCAAATATTGTGGGAATCTGCAAGTAGATCACCATTCTCTTACTACATTAGATTATTTTTGTGGTGGGTAACCCCTCTATAAAGGTCGCAGATGTTCTTCTTACTTTTCGTTGCATACTCATTAAATTTTTGTTTCTGATATTCCCTCTTTTTAAACTTGAAATGCCTTCTGGCTTCACTCATTATTCTATTCAGATTATCCCCATTTATTTCACTTCGATCCTGCAGCCATTGCAGTTTGGCTTGTTTCCCTTGATCTTGTAACTCTGAGCATCTTTGTCGAACCATGGTTTATGCTTTCTTTTTTTTTTTAATTCATTTTGTCTTGGACTCTCGTTTACTGAAATTCTGATATTTTCTCAAACCGTTCCACAATCTCTTAATATCCTCCTCATCATGTAAGTTTTCAAAAGCTGTGAACCTATTTGAGATTTCAACCCTCTACCTCGTTTAATTTCTTTACGTTGAACTTCCCTATATGAACTCTGTGTGCTGTTTGTTTGCTCACTGCCAGTCTCTCCCTAACATTGCCATCAACAGACAGTGGTCGGTATCACAGACTGCTGCCCTGAACGAGCAGACATCAGACACCTCAATGCCTTCTATCAAAATACGGCCAATTTGATTGTGAGTCTATCAGAATGTTACGACGTGGAAACACTGTACTTTTGACATTCACATTTTTGATGTGGCAAAGTTTACTACTGTAACTCCATTATCATTACTAATTTCGTGCAAACTCTCATTCCTAATTATTAGTTTGAAAATGACTTCCTTGCCTACTTTAGCATTGAAATCTCCTAACAAAATGTTCGTTTGGTATTTAAGGAATTTATAGAATACATATTCTAGTTCTTCCTAGAACCTGTCCTTATTATCATAAATTTTATCTTCCGTTGGGGCATGAATATTCAGAAAGATGATATCACAACAGCGACCTTTTAGTATTGTTCGACATCCTATCGCTAACAGATTGTAGTCTCTTAACTGCTGATATAATTCTCTTATATTCGAAGAACCAAGGAGGTTGGTCTAGAAGTGAAGGCAGAGAAAACTAAATATGTATTTCTGTCTCGTCATCTGAATGCAGGGCAAAATTTTTAACATATAACAGCTGACAGATCATCCGAGAATGTGGCAGAGTTCAGACGTTTAGGAACGACATTAACAAATCGAAACCTGGTTCAGGAGGAAATAAAAATGAAGCTGAACTCGGGTAATGCTTGCTACCATCCAGCCCAGAACATTTTGTCTTCTCATCTGCTGTCTAAAAGCATAAACATTAAAATTTACACAAGAATATTTTTACTTGTGGTTTTGTATGGGTGTGAAAAGTGATCTCTGTCATTGAGAGAGGAACAAAGAGTGAGGGGGTTTGAGAACAGGCTATTGAGGAGAACACTTGTACCGCTTGCACATATAGTTTGCAGGCCAAGGTTTATTGGCATTGCTACATCAGCATCAACCCCGCCCCCTCCGTCAGTTCCTTAACCCACCACAATGCAGTATGTATATTTATATGATGCCTCTAGATGTTTCGGTCGGTTGTGACCATCCTCAAAAGGCAATAACATACTAAGGAACTCTTACATAGATCGTAATACATATGCTTAAACTTTTGTATAAAATATTTTATTGATTAAATTGTGTTTAAGTTAGTAATATATCATTAATGTACTTAATATTTAAAATCATGAACCGCTTAGGTTTGTGTCTTCGTACCTCTTCTATCAAAATGGGAGATTTGGGTGTTATTTGCCGCTCTCTGAGGTCCTGGCGGCGTTATTTCCCACTTCTTGTATGGTTCGTTAAGGATCTATGTTGTTGTCAAGTTGTTTCTCCTTTCGTTGTATACTGAGGTGTTGTCAATTCATTTTATAATGATTAAGTAGTGTGACAGACCAGAATGAATAAAGTTAAAGTCATATTTTATTATTTATATCCAGCAATACTTACAAATATTATGTGCCGGATTTTCGATAAACCTTTCACGTGCTTCTACCACTCTTCACTGGTAGGAGGTGCCGACTGTTTAAGTATAGAGCTAAGAAATTAAGCTATAAGAAATAGCGGATCTTTAAATGTTGCTGGCCTTCATATAGACTTAAATTAAGAAAGAGTACACGCGGAAGTTTTGTGCATAATCTGTCAGCGGATTACTTCAGAAATAAGTGAACCTATCGACCAAGTTGCAGCTACAGAGATATAGGATTCTATTCGCTAGATCAGGCATGTCCAACTTCAAACAGGCTGTGATCAACTTTTTAGTGTCAAAACTGCCAGTGATCTACCACCCCCTCCTATCGTCGCACCTCACTTTAAGCAAAAATATTGGTAAAAATAACACGACACATGATGTTTGTTGTAAAAGCAACATATATAGAAAGTACAGACTACTTTAACACGTATTTTCCCTTTAAAATCTGAATATAATCATATTATATTACAAGTGAATTTACATGCTCTTAAAGTATAATTTCCTTATAGGCGTATGAGATCGACCAAAAACCGTCCCACGATCGACGCGTTGGACATGCCTGCGCTAGATGATCAGTTTGAATCACGGTAGGGACACGGAATGAACTGAGTTTATCTTGGTATTCCCCAGCCTTTACTTGAAAATATGGTTATAATGCCTCGTTTAGACAAAGACTGCTTCGTTCTAACCCATAGTGCTTAATATATCCTAGCACTTCACGATATACACTCAAGATAAAAAGTCGTTTAGTTACTCCCAGAAATAAATACGGAAATATGTCTTCGTTGGAGTTAGTTTTTCCTGTGTATCTCCTAGTTCAGAATAAGATGTAACTTTCAGTTGAAGTATACCTAGTTTTTTTATCTATTTCATCTAGTTGCCTGTCCACCTTACTGTCTAATCCCTTTCGTTATCACTTAGAGAATTTGAATTTTACCTACGGAACGCTTAACGAAGATTCCTTTGGTAGGTGCTTCGCTAGTATATTTTTAAAGAATTAACAGCTTTCTTATGCATCACAGTTTGTCTCAAATATTCGTCAAAGAAAACGTATTGGATTTTGCAGTCTAAAAGAGCTGATGTGCTGTACCATTAGATTATGTCTTCAGTATGCAGAACATTTGATCAGTAGATGTTCTGTTGCGTCTAATTATGTGCTCATGATCACTGATGACTTTGAAGAGTTCCATCTTCTGGGAAGTGGGCTTTGCAGTCCCCTGAAAGTTGGCTCTCAATGAACTAACGGCGTTATATCCCTGAAGATGGAACTCTTCAAAGTCATCATATAACTCTTCATAATCATCACTGTGAGAGCCTCAAATGTTATAATAATAACTCGTAAGCGAAGTCTGTTAACAGTTAAGAAATTATATTGTAGAACTCTTGCGAGCGAACGAAAATGAGATTTCGTATTAAATTACAGGAGTCGGTTTTCAAGCACGAATTTCTCCTGTATATTTAAAATTAATTTCTTACCTCACAGGAAGCACAGTAAAAATAAAGCTACCCTTCTAGCAGGCCGTGGAGGCCTATAGGGTTGTGGATAAATGTAGTCTCATACTTGGACCATCCTACATTTTTTTCACTTGTGGTACGAATAGACGCGTCGTATGACATTTAACGAATTGGTATCAACTGCAGTGATTATTTAGCGTCGAATGCTATAAAAGGGCGATATATTTCCAAATATATAGACAATTTGACAAGAAGAAGCCATGCATGCAGGTGTAAAGCGTAAATTTGGCAGGGGTCAGGCTTACGACCTTTCAGGTTAAGGTATGATTTTCTGTACAAGCCTTCGTTGGTAGAGGTCCTATGTATATCACGGATAAATGTTATTCATTTTAATAAAACGATAAAGAGTGTATGGTGTCCGTAAATTATAAATGTCCTTACGTGGATGTTGTGCCAGTTATGGTATGCTGCTGCCGAATTGCGATGCAACGAATGTGACGCCTAATTAGAAAGACCAGGCCGTCCTATCGTCAAAATGGAGGCCCTATTTCCAAACAAATAAACTACCATGGAACGAAAAAATGTGGCCATTAACCGCGAATGTGTCTGAAACCAAGAACGACTGTGCTGGCGAGGACCAGCAGTGACTTACTGCTACGTTATGAACTCGGAAATGGCATAATCGGTCAGAGAACTTTTTGAAAACACCATCCATGCTTCGCCCCGGAGGAACTGAGGGGCCCACAGAAAATTTCAGTTAATTTAAATTGTTTTCCGAACCGTGATTCAAATCCGTGATACCTATAATATAATAAGGACCAGCTGCTCGGTGTTTTATGAAGACCGACCTGATAGAGGATATGCATCTTTTGATAGGCCAAATCTGCCGCACAAGAGAATAAAGTAAATTAATCCTTGTTTTCAATTTATAATTCGATTCTCTTTTCATGGAAAAGAGCATCTAGCTTGTTCGTGCCCTTAAATAGTTCCGATACAGAAAGTAAACTGTTTGAATGCGTTGTACAATACATTTCAGACAGAGTGTACTCGTGTAAGAAATTGGAAAGAACGCTTTGGTGAGATAATCCCAGAGGATGTTGCAAAAATACCAATCGAAGGCGGAAAGAAGCGTGAGAGGTCTTCTGAAACTTTGAAAGCAGTCTGTTTTGTAATATTCATAACTCGTTTCAATAGGACTGATCCTCAATAAGATAAACATGATGATGACTTTTCTTCGTGGTTTAGGCGAGATTTCTTAATAATATCTTGAAATTTATGCATCCTCTAGGTTTCTCCTTCAAAATCTGCGTTTCGGAAACAGGTTCTCTCCCCGTCTGTAGATGCAGAGCGACATATGTGAGCGTTGGCAGGAGTTTTAGTTAATGGACATTGGACACGTGACAGAGTAAAATGTTGGTTCCTGAGTTAGTGAGTCAGTCAGAGTACAGCTGCAGTTCAGTCGTTGTGAGCTGTTACTGTTAGAAGCTGGTAGGTGAGGCACTGGGATAGTTTGGGGATCCAGAGGAAGGGGAACTTCCGCCGTTGCAAGCAAACGACTGATGAAGACACTGCAGACTGAGAACATTTAGCACGTGCTGTAGAGAACTGCAGAGTGTGTGTGAATTAGCCATAACTCTATAGTTACTTGTAGGTTCGATCTGTAAGTATTTAATAAATCCAGCTACAAATCCATGCTCCGCCTGTAGTCACTCATACGCGTGACACTGTAGAGATATGTTTTCTTCTTATGAATTAAACTGAAGAAATATATGTTAACACATGTGCAGTCTAACAGAAATGGAGTAACTGACAAATAAAATATTTCAAAGCACTCGATAATATTAAAAGGTAATTTAAGTCCTTCTTGGAACCGGTGCTTCAAAAGAATTACATTGAACAACAAAATACAATGGTTATGTCATTGTAACTGGAGAGTCAAATGCTGTTCATAAAAACTGTGGACTGCCTTGAAAGGTACGGGCCTGAATAAACTCAGATTTACTGGGGTTTGGGGATTTTTCCATCGTCAGATATTCTAGACACAAGAAAACACGACGTTTCGGGAACTAAATCTGTTTCCGTCCTCATGGGAAGGGGGAAGACACATACTCAGTTGAGTCTCTTATAAAGAAGTGACATCAGTCACTGGTCCAACGATTGAGGTTAGCTTTTTCTAAGGGACCCAACTGAGTAGGTGTCTTCCCCCTGTCATCTGAGGCCGGAAACAGACCCAGTTCCCGAAACGTCGTGTTTTCTATAATATCGGACTATGGTAAAGTCCACAAACCCAGTAATCCCGAATGTTATGCACCATCGTCAGACAACCTTAGGATCTACTCGTTCATTGAAGCTGTCTGATAATGGCAAATAAGAAAGTAACAAAAGTAAACAAAACAAAAGTGACGTAATGGAATTTAATGGCATCATAAATTATGTTACGGCATATTCTGGTAAGTGGGTACCAGAGTTAAGGAGGAACATTCTTCTGCCATCGTCTGGGTAGCTATCCGAAACATTGACATACACATGCACAGATAACACGGTGTCGAAAGTTCATTATAATTTCATACTAATTTTATAAACGCTGATACTTACTTACTTACTTACTTACTTATGGAGCTGAGCCCTTCTTGAGGAGAAGCCAAATCTGCAGCTACTTAAAAATTTCCCAGCATTTTATGGAACCCGAAGGCTCATTACCGTGTTCACAAAAGCCCTACACTGGTCCCTTTCCTGAGCCAGATCAATCCAATCCACACCATCAAATTCAATCTCTCTAAGACCCATTTAATATTGTTCACCCACTTACCCCTTGGTCTTCCCAGTGGTCTCTTCTGGCTTTCCCACCAATATCCTACATGCATTCCTTGTTCCCCCATTCTTGCTAAATGCCCTGCCCACCACAGCCTCCTTGACTTGATCATTCTAATTGTACTTGGAGAAGAGTACAAGTTATGAAGTGCCTCATTATGCAGTTTTCCCCACTTTCGCTTAGGTCGTTTATCCAAGGAATCCGTCCAGGTCCGAAGCTTCTTGAGGATTTTCGTAACAAGTTTATTTTTTTACGGTGAGGAATTGTAAGCACCACGCCAAACTCCCAAGCTGGAGAACCACCCGTTGTCGGCTGTCCGCGATTGCTTATTCAATATATTCGCAGCTTCCTTCCATATCTGGAGGGCGTCTCCTTCATCCGCAACCTGAGGACACGCCATGCCGTGGTGACAGGGGACCCACCTAACATGGATAAACGCTGATATGCACACAAAAAAAATAGTACGTAACTAACACTTCACATATCACAGTTGTTTTATTGTCATTTTCATGTTAACATATCCGATTTATTAAAATCGACATGGTTGATAAATTATGCAACCTGAGGATTCGATTTTCTATAACAGTAACATTTATTAACTAACCTGACATTGCATCTTGTTATAAAGTTTACTGTAAAATGAATGCATATACCTCTTTACAGCCTCCTTCGTGCAGTTATATTATTGATGTGATCGGCATATTATTATTGTGCTACTGGGGTGGGACTAAGTCCCTTGCACTGCCGCCACTTCTGGCCTATTGTACCAGCCCCAGATGATAGGTGAGGGTGATTGTGGAGCAATTGGTGGAATGAAGATTGACAGGGGAAACCGAAGTACTCGGAGAAAACCTGCCCCAACACCACTTTGTCCACCAAAAATCCCACTCGACGAGACCCGGGATCGAACCCGGGCCGCCGCGGTAGGAAACCAGCGAGAAATCGGTATAAGTCACAGACAAAATTTGGGACCCAACTTTGTGTTGTTTAGGTTTTACAAGCAAAGTTAGGGTATTAGAAAAACAAACGAGGACATACTTCCAAGTTTGCAGCGTCATTCCCTTGACGATACAGTCCAGAAGCGACTCGTAGGGTCAGGACGTTCTTCAGCCAGAGCTGGAATCAGTCAAGTTCCAGCTTCCTGAACGATCCTTCAAAACCTAAAAGTTCGCTGTCGTTGATGGAACAACCATGTCTTTTAGACTCGTCTGACCTATATTTTTCACGTTTCAGGAATATATCATGGTAATTTTCTAACTTCTTCGCCCAGCCATCTGGAACACAAATTTACAAATACTTAGCCAGTTGTTGTGTTCATAAATATATATTTGTTTATTTATATTTGGTTTAGTGACCTTCGAGAAACAGGGATCATATAATGTGGATTGGTAAAATGATCACTGAATTAGAAGTGACTTGAGTACATGTATCCATGGCCTAATTTAATTTACGATCTCGAAACTTTCGTTGATTGCCTGAGGAACACCACGAAACACATCAGATTTATCTGTGTTCAGGCCAAGACACAAAATTACTGCCTGAACCTACCTGTTCAGTGACTAAAATCAACAGGTATGTAAACTTCGGCAGAAAATTTAAGTGAATATGAAATATGAAATGAGTTGTCAATGCGGCAGTCACTGGGGCCATAATACTTATAGCTAAAGGAGTTGAGGAATATTTCGAAGCAGCACCTGAAAACATTCAAATAGATTCTCTACAAAGAAAAACTATCATTGGAACATCGCATATGTCGAGGAAAGTGATACATCTTGAAGCCTGAATGGAGGTGTCACCGTGGGGAAGAGGAGATGCACCAGGAAAATCCAAGTGATAAGAGAAGGATATTGTAGTAGGTACCACACACTGCAGTAAAAAAATTGCAGAAAACGACCAAAATTGGAAAAGCAGATATTTAAAGAAGCTACTTCAGTGGCATTAAATTTAATTTGAATTATATCAAAGTAAAGCTATCCCTGTAACAGGCCGTGGAGGCCAATAGGGTTGTGAGATATTGAGGTTCACACATTTTCTAGACAATCGGCTCATAGATGGCGGTGAGGTTGTCAGTCTTATGTGCTGGCGGCCCTTTACCCCCAGGAATATTCCTGGTACTCATTTCTGTTAGAGGCTGAGTCGACCCCAGGGCCATAGTGCGGTTGGAAGGATTAGATAAATTGAAAAAATCCGCCTCATCGGGGTTCGATCCCGAGACTTTCAGGCTTGTAGCATAGTGCCTCAATGAACTACGCTACCGCATGCTCCCTTTGAAATGTGTTCTTGAAAATGTAACGTAGTCCTTAGGGGCGAGGATAGGCCTTGACTCTGTAATATAACGTAAAATGTAATAATAACATGAGCAATAATGCAGTTGATTTTTTACGTCCGTAGTGAACATCCAAAAAGGTTAATTACGAATTTAACAATAGTTTCTGGTGGCATTTTAACCAAAATCCAGAGCAAAGAAACATTTGGAGCACAATTTCTCTAGTATATCAAGATTTCAAGTAAGTTTGATACTGCTGAAAGGAAAGAGTTCTTGAGAAACTAAAATTGTGGCTTGTCACTGAACGTATTACAGTTGACAGGTCTAGCTTAAAGGTAGGTAAGAAGTGAGAGTGTTCTAAATCATACCCCAGTTATCAGATATGGAGCCACATTCTCCGCCATATTCCTTAGGAAGGCTTTCTTTCGGCACTCTATCGAGGAATGTTGTCAGGTCGCTGCCATGAACATGTATCTGAAACATACAGACATCGGTTCTTGTCCTTAAATATTCATGGTTTGAACTTCACGTATGTTCCATTGTCGGTTCTCGGGAATAAGACATGTATAAGAGTAAATGTTTTTAACATTTCGGCTGACATAACAGTTGCCATCTTTAGGGCGAATAAAATTCATTAGCATTTTATGCGGATTACACCCTATAGTCAAGTTTGTACATTAATATACATATTATACTGTCACGTGTTGGGTGTATGACACACGCAATAAATAAACTTCACGCCGTTTTGGATATAGCGAATTTATTGCACATTCGCTCTAACATTCACACAGTTTACAATTTTACAACTACTGCCATCTGCAGTATCACAATTCTCCATTCACTCCGGCGAATGCTAGACTGCAACTGACTGGTTACTCTCTCTCTAGTAACTGGCTCAGTACTCACTACTCCTGAATAGTGTTCGCTGCTCGGCAACAGATATCAGGTATTGTTGTCAGGTGTTTCTACCTACGCATTGCCTAGCAATAGTCGCTGCATGGAGTCGCCTGTTGCGTGAGTCACTGCCTCGCAGGGAGGGGTGTTCACCGAGCGTTGCGTAATGATAGGAGTGAGGTTACGTGACGTCACTCGTGGAAACGCAGAGTTCACGTGACCCCTACTTCCTGTTGCGCCATCCACGTCACAATACTTAACGAATTTGTACTCGCCGAATAGTTTGGATGCTCAAATAAAAAAAAAGTTATACGGACGAGGTATGTGGTAAGCTTGGGAGACAAATTTTGATAAGAAATACTGAATCAAAGAGTGCAGCTGGAAGTCTTAATGTTTTTTTTATTGCTAGTGGGGTGGGACTAAGTCCCTTGTACTGCGGCCACTTCTGGCCTATTGTACCAGCTCCAGATGATAGGTGAGGGTGATTGTGGAGCAACTGGTGGAATGAAGATTGGCAGGGGAAACCGAACTACTCAGAGAAAACCTGCCCCAGCGCCACTTTGTCCACCACAAATCCCACTTTACCAGACCCGGGATTGAACCCGGGCCGCCGCGGTGGAAAGCCAGCGGCTAACTGCTTGAGCTATGGCGCGGCTTTAGTCTTAATGTTAGATGGGAATATTGTAACGTGTATATCCATTGCTAGGCAACCGCCTGGTAAACACCTTCCCGTTTAATCCTTAAACAACGGCGCGATAAATAGACTTCCGGTCTTCGGAATTGGCAGCTGCAGGAAATGACAAGAAGACTTCATAGTGATTTGAAGCGATAGTTCCCGTGATGAAACCTTTACCAGGAAACGGATTGCGTGTTCTAGAGATTTGTGAAGTAGGTAGACTAGCGATAGTGCTGTAATTTGTTGTGGTTAAGAGAGATTGTAAAATACGGTTTCCATAAATCCAATCATCCAATCCAGAACCCGTTATCATTGTTCAAGATCCTAAATACGTGAAGCTGTAATATAACTGATCTGAAGAGAAACTTAGGCTATATTCACCGCACTGAGGGAAATGAGCATGATCCTAGAATAACTTAGTGAATATAATTTACTTACGAGTGCTTACTTACTGATGGAGCTGAGCCCTTCTGAAGGAGCCACCAATTCTGCAGCTACTCAAGAATTTTCCAGCATGTTATGGAACCCCGAAGGTTCATTACCGTGTTCACAAGAGCCCTCCACTGATCCCTATCCTGAGCTAGATCTATCCAGTCCATACCGTCCCATCCTATCTCTCTAAAATCCATTCTAATATTGTCCACCCACCTACGCCTTGGTCTTCCCTGTGGTCTCTTTCCTTCAGGCTTTCCCATCAATATCCTATACACATTCCTCGTCTCCCCCATTCATGCTACATGACCTGCCCACCTCATCTTCCTTGACTTGATCATTCTAATTATACTTGGAGAAGAGTACAAGTTATGGAGCTCCTCATTATGCATTTCTCTCCAACCTCCTGTCACTTCAAGTGAATATAATATGTAATAAACTTAATGAATTTGAATGAGCTTTTGTGAATTATACGTATGAATAATATACAGTATCATAATTAACATAGAGTTCACACTTTAGAAAGTGACACAGAGTGAAAAACTTTTGGGTAGAACTGCTGTACACCTGATGATGGCTGTTTACAACCAGTGTCATAAAGATGTAGACGAATTTGTGTTGCATTTCAGAAAGTAATACATACGTACAAAACTAATAATAGTAATGCAACAGGATGCGTAAGTACATCACTAGAGGAATGGAGGGAGTAGGGTGGCGACGGAGGGGTCACTTCCTTGCCCTCAGTAGAAGCAGAGTACCAAAACATAAATTACCAAATTCCCAGTTTATGTAGGAGGAACGTGGTACCGTAGTTGGTTGAGGCACTATACTACAAGCACGAAGGTAGCGGGTTCGATTTCCGATAAAGTCATTGGATTTTTCAACAGATGTATTCCTTCCAGCCGCACTGTGGCCCTGGTGTCAACTCAGCCTCTAACAGAAATGAGTACCAGGAGCCTTCCTGAGGGTATAATGCGGCCGGAGTGTAAGCCTGACAACTTCGCCGTTTCTGTGAGTTGATTATCTAGAAAATATGGGAGCCTTAACGTCTCACAACCCTGTGGGCCTCCACGGCGTGGTACAGGGATAGCTTCACCTTTCTGATTTATGTAGCACTTTGTGACGAAGAAGAGATATCTATTGACCCCATAAGCGTTGGATTGAAAGCGGAATAAGATGATAGGAAGAGGATGAACAAAGGGCAGAGAATGTGTAGGAAATGTGAAGAATTATAATTGTATACTTACCCTCTCTGCAATTTTGGACTTGAATACAAGTTTGATCATTGAAATGAGAACATCAGCATATGGTGGGGCGTTCAAAATGTGTATCGCCTTAATGCGAAAATTGTATCCTCCCTGGAAGAAGAGAAACATTAAATGAGTACGAAACTTTACTACTCGAATACGTAAATCTGTTTCTTAAACTGTGATCCGTCATGGTCCACCAAGTGGTCCGCAGTGTTATATAGGTGACAGAGTACTCTATGACATATAAAATTAAGGAAATACATGTTGCATGCAAGTACGTGCCGATGACCCATATAGTTGTTACAGTCCCCGAAAATTGGAGAAATACTCTATACAGCGTAAAATATCCTACCATCTCCACTACTTTCTTGAGCAGTCATTTTAAGGTGACAATATATTTCTACGAATATTAATATATACTTTAATTCCTAAGGTGCCGTGAGTTCTATGTTCGTATCGTGGCATATTTGTTAAAAGCGAGAATTGCGGAGCCAGAGGAACAGCTGTTACTAGCGAACGGCTCTGAAAAAAATCGTTTCTAGGCAACGCCTCGGTATGCTGCGGCAATGGATACGCGTGAAAAAAATAGACGTACTGTTGGAAACGATGTTGTCTGCGAAGCCAGAGAAACAGCGGTTACTAGCGAACGGGTCTGAAAAAAATCGTATCTAGGCAACGGCTCGGTATGCTGCGGCAAAGGATACGCATGAAAAATAGAGGTACTGTTTTCTGCCGCGGAGTTATAAGGAGGACAACTAGGGCAAGAATAGTTATTTCTTTATTGAAATTCGTCACAACACAACAATTAATTATATATATGTAGTAGTTTCAAGTAGTACTTTACTACATGTTTCGGCTTTCAAGAAGCCATCATCAGGTAAATACACTTAAAAAACTTTTTTAGCTATTAAATTGCGTGATAACTACGCGATATAGTATTAAATTATCCAAATAGTATACAGTAATATAAAATATAAAGTTAAAATGAAGGTGAAAGTCTTAAAATGAACTAGTTACATATTTAAAATACAGTTAAGAGCTGTACATATAATTATATTTAAAAGTAGGTAGTTGTAATCGTAATCATATGCGGTGATGCTTATGCGGACATGCTGTATACACAGACGGTTGTTCTGGTGCTCGGAGGTCCCTTGCTGTATTGTACGTTATTATTTAATTTTGATTTCTATTTGACGCGAGCCTCCAATTGTCTGTATATGTCCGATCTGGTGGGGAGATGGATTACAAAAAAAAAAATAGTTTGTTGCAAGAGTTGTTAGTAGTGAGTTGGCCGCGCCATAGCTCAAGCGATTAGTCGCTGTCAAGTGGGACTTGTGGTGGACAAAATGGCGCTGGGGCGGGTTTTCTCCGAGTACTTCCGTTTCCCCTGCCAATCTTCCTTCCACCAAATTCTCCATCATCATAATCACCCGGGGCAGGCTACAATAGCTCAATTAGTGACCGCCGTGCTGAGTGGACCCATTTGGACTCCCCCCCCCCACTAAACGAATTTAAAAAGAAATTAAATTACTAGTGAGTTGACAGTCAGGTGACGAAGAGAAAGCTAGGAGTTTGGTGTGAATTTTAATTTTTTTTTAGTTTCTATATTTAAGTAAATGAGTAATTGTAAATACATTTGCATTTAAGCCATATGTAAATGTGCATAAGTGATATATTGATGCCACATATTGCTGAAATACAATATTACTTACCTAATATTGTGTTTGAATGGTTATTCAACTGAAATTCATGATTTGTCCGTGTGCTAATGAACAGTGAAAATGTATGAATATTGCAATCAACACAATTGTAATGCTATCATTCCTGTGTAGAGTATAAAGTTTCCAGTACTTACTAAAACACATATTTCAAATTTCCTTATTAGCGGAATGGTCACTTGTCGTACGTGTCCCAGACTGTACTTCTCTAGGTCCACTACATAAACATCCGAGAGACAATAATCCTCAGATATTCTGATCTCCATTATCATGTTACATAGTTTAATGGCGTTCAGAGCATTATAATGTGTGGTGTCGGATGTCTGAAGTCCGAACAATATTACCCGATCGTAGTCTGGAGTGAGTTGAGACATGGGTATGCAGAAACTGCAAGAAACAAATATTATATATTGCTTCTTAAAAAGTGAGGGTATGTGTAATTCTACTTTATATCTCATTTGTACCTGTATGAATATTATTTTATATACTAACGGACTAACATAGCTTAGAGGTGGGTCAAGAAAAGAAAATCACTGAGCAGAATATTAAGTATAGGGAGAAGAAATCGCCGGAGAGAAGTCACATATTAGTGGTGTGTCAGAAACTGTTTTAACTTGTCTGTCTTCATGTATAACTTTCCGAGGAAGGTGTCTGGAACAGAAACTGCTCCTATTTACATTCCGGAAGAAAGCGGTTCGAATCTAGTTCTTATTATTTTTGTTTATACGTAAATGATAGGATAGTACTTAAATTAGTTCATGGCTCTTTCCTTCCACATCCCATCCGGTTGGTTACTTTTTTTTCCCCTTGGCACTACAGCCCCAGTGGGCCTAGGCCTACCTTCATGAACTTCTCCGTTCACTTCGGTTTTTCTAGATCTTACACATTCGGTAGGACTCCTTGGGCGGGTGGTCAGCTCGTCACAAGGCCTCTACCTGTACACAAACATAGAAAAATGAACACACACAAACTAAACATCCATGCCCTGAGTGGGATTCGAACCCACGATTCCGGTTTCCAAGCGAACGAAGACAGTACATGCCTTAGACCGCTCGGCTACCGTGACCGGCAGTTGGTTACTTAACACCACCCAATTATTGTACTCTGAGCAGTGCAGTTACTGTTTCTGGCAGAGAATTAAATAAAGTAAATCAAAGTAAATATATCAAAATCAAGTCCATTGCCTGATATGAGACTGTGTGTTTCTGTGATTATCACACTGCAAGATCGGCGTCAAAAGTGCTAAAACCTGCACCTCAGCCCTGCGAGTTGCAGGAAGCGACGTAGAAGAGGACTCGAATCTGAGATATTAAAATATGGTTACTAGTCCCATGGTACTCGGACCCGAGAATGACCGTGCTGACGAGGACCAGCAGCAATTGTAAATGATAGACGCATCCCCACATCAGAGAGAGCGCTCCACATCAACAAACCCGTAACTCTCTGATAGTAATATAAATCTGGTCGTTAGCCCCAGATGGGTGCTTTATTTCAAGACAGACTGGCCGACTGCCCGTCGGTCGGAACACAAGACACAGACTCACACTCAGTCTGCAGGTGGGGTCGAATACCTCCACCGTGGCCCTGCTAGTAGTAGTAGGCGCCGAAAAGAGAATATAATCTGGCCACCCTGTTTCCGAAGGGTATAAATACGAGGACCTGGCCTTCCATGTTGGGGGAATGGAGAATCTGTGACAATAACACATTCCCAGTCGATCATACAAAAATACGTAGACCTAAACAAAATTCTGATTCATAAACCTAAACAGATTGGGAGAACTGTTCTCCATGCGTTAGTACATAATATTATATATGAAGTTCATTGAAGCTACTGGCAATGGGAACATGTAAACAAAAGCCTTTAAGTCCTCCATACTGAATGTCACCAAAATCCGTGAAAATTATAGAATTTCCTTCATACGGATTTCTTACTTGGTTTATTGTTCAACCGTGAAGAAGGCGGCACATGATCCTGCGAAAGGTCCGTTGACTTTCAATGAACACTACAGGGCGCTCTGTTCCAGAGGTTACTACTCGTAGAAACATTTCACTGGATACATGGAGGAGCCCTTTTGAGCGAGGCGTAATTAGGGACCAATATGTCCCAAAAATCAGAATTGCCCGATGTGTAGAAATACATTTGGAATATAGCCAAGAAACCCTCCCAGTTCATGTGTAAACTAGGCTCCATTTTTAACAACAAGAAACTGTAAATCTCTTAATTTTATAAGTTATTGTTTCAACAAAATTTGTTATGCGATTTATGGAATGTGTGGTCTTACGTAAAGTAGACTTTCTTATAAATCAGTATTTCAGGAACTCAAAATTGTCCACACTTTTTAACTGACGTCTCCCTAGAAAATCTGATCAGTGTTATAGTGCCAGATTCTGTGTTACAAACAGAGGAATAACCATTATTTCCAAATATGGCTTTCTACTTTAATCTGTAAAGAATGTCTGCAGAGTAATTACGCACATAGAACTCGATATGGATTTGAACCAGTCTGCATGTGTGTCCCAGCCAGTCATTGCATCCGGTAACTTTGTCTTCAGCGTATAGTGCAGGTCCAGCGTCCCCTTGACCCTCTCCGTGCTGTTCTTGCAACGGATCAGCCACCGCTCCAGCCTGCCATCATCTGCAACTTGAATTGCATAGCAGTGCAGATTTCGTAAAGATATGTTCCCATTCTTACACTATCCTTGTCTTCACATTACTGTCTGAAAATTCCGACAATGCTTCTGTTACACTGTAGCTGATCCAATAACAAATTATTTTTTTTAATTGCTAGTGGGGTGGCCACTTCTGGACTATTGTAGCAGCCCCAGATGATAGGTGAGGGTGATTGTGGAGCAATTGGTGGAATGAAGATTGACAGGGGAAGCCGAAGTACTCGTAGGAAACCTACCCCAGCGCCACTTTATCCACCACAAATCCCACTTGACCAGACGCCCTGGATCGAACCCGAGCCGCCGCGGTGGGAAGCCAGCGACTAACCACTTGAGCTATGGCGCGGCCAATAACAAATTAACTAAATAACTAAGCAACGAATCAACTAAATAAATTAACTAACTCCGTCATTCTAATACCTACGAATAGACTGTGGAACCTATTTCGGCTTCACTGTAGCACCACATTAAGGTTGCACTGACAGGTACATGAATGAATAATTAATTAATTCGCTTAGTGAAGAGTGGAGTCCAACTGGGTCCACTAGCCACGGCGGCCACTGATTGGCCTATTGTAGCCTTCCCCGGGTGATTATGATGGTGGAGAATTTGGTGGAATGAAGATTGGCAGGGGAAACCGAAGTACTCGGAGAAGACCTGCCCCAGCGCCACTTTTCTACCAGAAGTCTCACTTGACAGACCCGGGATCGAACCCGGGAAGCCAGCGACTAACCGCTTGAGCTATGGCGCGACCTTACATGAATGAATAAGTGAATGCAAAATGGATACAAGGAAGACTGAATGAATAAAAAAGAAATTGAATACATTTCTGACTGGATGAAGGAACTAATGTTTGTGTGTGTGCATGCTTGCGTGTAGACGGCTGGACCTGAGGAAATGTTGACGAATCAGTAATGGTATTAATGGGTGCATGAATGAATGATTAATGAATTTAAAGATGGCTACATGAAAGGTTGGTTTAATTTGATGAAGGGTGAATACAGGGTGGCTAGATGAGCAGACTCATGGGTGCTTATATTAATGGAAGAATTACTTGAGGGATGGCTTTGATGAATGCATTATTTATGGCTTCAGCAACAGAATATATGAGTATTGCAATGAAAGGTGGCGTGCTCTGGGAGTAGATATGCGAAGCTTACTTATTTCTTTAGGCAGATGAGGCTGCAGCTGTATCCAATCCTTCAGATGTTCCACAGCTTCCCTCACTCGTTCTTCATTCAGACCAAACTCACCCCGCACTCTCTCCAGTATCTCTTTACTCGGAGGTTTTAGTAGTTCTGACGGCATCTCTCACCTGGCAACAAAGAACAGTGAGCTATGTTGAAAGTTGTTAAGAACTGTCTGCATGTTTCAAGTACAAGAGGCTAATGATTTCTTTTCTGTCGTTATCTTCCGTTGTGTGTTCTTTATGTATGTTACGGTCGGAATTCGTAGCATTTGCATACAGGAAGAAAATTAGTAGTGGAACATGTGCCTCGGTCGGTACTGAAGTGTACGTCTTTGCAGACAAATGTTCTCCTACCTAGCAGCAAAGCATAGAAACATCAGAACATCAAATTTCATGTCTATCTGTAGCTATAGCTATCTCCCAGAAGCATTTAAAGATTCTGGGTCTAAGCACTCGTGATGAAATATACGTTTAAGTATTTGGCTGACTACAGATCCAAAGGTCCCGGGTTCGATTCTTAGCGCTATCAGATTTTCTGTGAATTAATGGGTCTGGAACGGGGTCCACTCAGCCTCGTGATGATAATTGAAGAGCTACTTCAATGGAAAAGAAACAGCTCCAGTCTAAAAGGAACCGAGAACAACGGCCGTGGGAATCCGTTACACTGACCACGTGACTCCCTCTATCCGTAAAATTTAGTACTAACTTCGCCAACAAACGGCGGTCGCTCGGTCGGTAGAGTTCGCTTACGGACTAAAGTTCACGGAGTTCCAAGACCACCTATGTAGAGGGTGCAAAATAATAACAATTACTAACAGTCTTGCGTTATATATATATATATATATATATATATATATATATATCGCCAGGTGCAGTTAGATCTACAAGCTAAGAAGAAGTGGAGAGGCGTACATGCGGAATTTTCGTGGGGAAAGCCAAATGATGAGAGAGAACTTGCAAGACCTAGATGTAGGTGGAAGGGTGATATTAAAACATCCTGAGGAAATAATTGTGGAATGTAAACTGCCTTAATCTAATTGATACTAACAAGCGGTAAGCGCGCGTGAACGTGGTAATAAACTTTTCTTTATTTAGTTCCGAAATTAAAATAAAGAAATTTCACGCACACAGTAAGATGCTGAAATATAATACTTCTATTGTAATAAACTTTCGGGTTCCATAAAATATTGATACCTGGTAAGCGTGACTAGAGACGAGGTTTAGATTGGTAACTGATTTATTGAACACTTTTACAGTTCGTAAGTACAAATAGCTACGACAGTCTCACTGAATTACACACACCAAATATCACTGTAACTACAGTACACATAAAATCCTCTCAGTCTTCATTAGCCGTTGCTTGGTAGCGGCTTGTAACAGAGGACGTTCCTCTTCATTTGGGTTGCCAGACTCTTACCGGCCTCAGCTGCTAGCTCCTTCCTTCCCATAATTCCAACTCTCAACTGACTCAATCTAGCAAATCAACTACTAACCCTAGTTATATAACCACGAGAAGTTCCGCGCAGAAAAAGAATCTTTCATTATCGTTGTTGGGGAACCAGCGTGTCCGCAGAGCTGTTCTCTAGCAACGGTTGTTGCACTGTCGCTTGTTTATTCAGATGCTACTTGACACTAGGTCTACATGTCACAATATTGAGAAATTCTGCAGTAACTGAACTACATGTGGCTTCTCAAAAACGACTCAGCGCCTTGGAGTTAGTCAGTAGTTAGTTAAAACATCTATCCCTTTAACAGCCTGTGAAGACCCATGGGTTTGTGAGACGTCGAGGCTCCAACATTTTCTTTAGATAATGGGCTCACAGATGGCGGTGAGGTTGTCAGCCTTACGCGCCGGCCGACCTTTAACTCCCAGGAAGATTCCTGATACTCATCCCAGAGCCATAGTGCGTCTGGAAGGGTTAGATAAATTGTATAAATAAATCCACCTCATCGCGACTCGAACCCATGACCTTCCGGGTTATAGCATAATGCTTCAACCAACTGTGCTACCCGCGTGCCTCAATTAGTTAGGTAGTCCTCTAATATAATTGTATTGTTTAGTGTTTCCTTCCAGACGCAGGAGAAACCTAGCGATGCTGCAGAGATGAATCAGATGAAAGGACGTTTATATTTTCTGAGAACTGGCGAGTTTTTATGTGTGAGCATTCGAACCGACAACGCTTTGATAACATAAAGTCACTTAATTAGCTTTACGGAAAAGTGGAAATTTCGTATTTGTGAAAGAAGAAATATCTCGCTATTTGTTTTACGATAAACTTGAGAGCTGAATAATTTCCATGAGTGTTTCTTATCATTCAATCTGAAATAATTTATTTCCTTATCTTTGACGTAAAAACGTAACGTTTTACATACACACTATTATGAATTTAATGATTGTTGTTGATAGCGTGTTTTGATATTCACGGCAACAAACGAACAAAGTTCAGAGTTCATGGGATAATGAGACATCCAAGAAACAATTTTGCTAGAAATAACAGATCCAATAATTACAAAGAACTTAAGAGTGGATGTCACGCACTAAAATGAAAGAAAATTCAGGATTGAAGAAAGTCGTCTTCTGGGTTTAGGCGCCGTGTATTCTGCGTTTTGGCCGACGTTTCGGAGGAACGTATCGCCTCCATCTTCAAAGCAGGTGAATGGCTTGGAATGCAGAGAGCAGTAGCTGTAGTGATAGGAAGTGAAGGGCGCTGCTTATATACGAAGTAGGCAGGGGGGGGTGGTTAGGGAGAGCGGACCAATAGGAGCAGTGGAGAGCGATTAAGGCCATATATGGTGTTATGTGCTAAGGGAGGGGTGGAACGGCCAGTGAATCCAGGAATCCCGTCATGGATAAAGATGGTCTGTTCTTAGTGTGATCATAAAAGTATGTTTCTGTAAGTTCTGTTATAGAAAAAACAGCTGTTGCATTCATCATGTGGTTTTTGTTAAAGGCGATACTTTTGCAAACTGCAGTGCTGAACAAATTTGATTATCGCTACAACAAATGCTTAGTGATTTGCAAATGTATTGCAACAGAGAACATGTTTCGAAGTTAATTTCTTAGAAGAAAAAATAATGAGGTAGATTATAGTTAAAAAAACTTGGTGTTAATGAAGGTCATAATTTCTGGTATAACAACTGCTTTCAGATAATTATACAGTTGTCAAGTTCATAATCTTTCAACTAATCATGGACCCCCGACATTTTTTGTTTTCATTGGCGCTACAGCTCTCGTTTGGGCCTAGGCCTACCTCCATGAAACTCTCCGTTTCACTTCGGTTTACTGGACCTTAGACATACGGTAGGACTCCTTGGGCGGGTGATCAGCTCGTCGCAAGGCCTCTACCTGTACACAAACGCAGAAAAACGCACACAAACTAAACATCCATGCCCGGCATGTTTTACCCTGAACTAATCATCTTGAGCTGCAAAGAATATGGAAATAATCTTTACACTATTTATTTAAGTATGCTAAAATATGTGAGCCTTTTAAATCCTTAATTTTATAAAACAAAAACTCGGTAGTTTTAGTCCCGCAAGCGAACTATACCGACCGAGGAACCGCCTCTTGTCGGCGAAGTTAGTGCCAACTTTGGCGGATAGAGGGTGTCGCGTGGTCAGCGCATCGGATCTCCACAGCCGTTAATTTCGGTTTTCTAGACCGGAGCCGCTATTTAATTGCAGTAGCTCCGTAATTATCCTCACGAGGCTTAGTGGACCTCGTTCCAGACCCACTACTTCTCAGAAAATTTGGTTGCGTAGGAAATCGAACCCGGACCACTGGATCTGTAGCCAGGAACTCTGACCACTAGACCACAGAGGCGGTCCCTTAATTCTATAAAGCATGCAAAATTACTAAAATGATCAGGACGGAGGTAGATTTTTTATTATGCTCTTGTGGTTTGTATGCATGAGGGTCTCTTAATCTTATTCGAGATGCAAGTTTGAGAGTGTCCTTAGGAATCTCTGTAGTGGTCTATTAGACAGGATGTATGTTCATTTAAGTGTTAAATAATAGATATGAGTTTTTACATATATTTCCGTGTAGCTTGCAAAAAGTTATTGTGGTGTAAATGAAGGCTAGAAACTTCAAAAGTAGAGACAGATGCTGACAGGTATCATGGACAGATGCTCGTGGGAATAATTCATAAATAACTTTCTTCAGTACGAAAATTATGAAAATCAGAGACATTACACATTCTGTTAAGGAGAGTAGGTCTAGAACGAAACATGTACGAAGCCTAAGTTAGGTTTACGTCTGGTCATCAGACTGGAAGACAAAATCATAACGTTAAAGTACCTGCTACATATTTCGGAAATAAAATGTTCAGATATTTGGGAAAGAATATATTGTACAACATCGACATTACATTGAAGACAAATTTGAATTTGGATATTTTCTGCGGAGTTTTTATGTCGTGCAGTGACATGGGAGTACAGTGAAACAGTACATCAGCTGATGAAGAAAGCAGTCTTCTGGGATTTGGCACCGTGTACACGTGGTGTTAACCGACGTTTCGGAGGAACGTATTGCCTCCATCTTCAGGGTAGAAGGAAAAATATAAGAAATCCGCAGACTGGTCTGCTTTTACCGGTTTTCACGGTCTCTTCGCCTGCGGATTTCTTGTATGTTTCCTTCTACCCTGAAGATGGAGGCAATACGTTCCTCCGAAACGTCGGTTAACACCACATGTACACTGTGCCAAATCTCAGAAGACTGCTTTCTTCATAGTCACCGCCGTGAAAACCTCAAATCTTACACAGTACATCAGCTATTCGTAGACTTCAAGGGAGCCTATGATTCAGTTATGAGGGAAGTATTGTACAGTATTCTGATAGAGTTTGGGGTACCCATTAAACTAGTCAGGCCGATTAAAATGTGTTTAAACGAAACATATAGTAAAGTCCATATAGGTAAACACTTGTCTGATAATTATCATATCCAGAATGGTCTGCACCAAGATGAGTATCACCACTGGTTTTCAAATTTGCTTTAGAATATGCCATTAGAAAGGTCCAGGAAAGCCGAGTGTCACTGCTGTAGGTCTATGCCGATGATGTGTATCTACTGGACCATAACATAGATACCACAAAGAAAAACATACAAACTTTAAATGACGCTAGTAAAGAGGTTGGTCTAGAAGCAAACAGAGAGAACTAAGTATCAGTTTCTGTCTTGTCTCGAAATGGAGGGCAAAATCAGGACTCAAGAATAGGTAACAGATATTTTGAAAATGTGGCGCATTTCAAATATTTGGGAAAGACAATAACAAATCAAAACCTGATTGAGGAGGAAATGAAGAAGAGATTGAATTCAGATAATGCTTGCTACTATTCAGTCCAGAGCCTTTTGTCTTCTCTCCTGCTGTTTTTAGACATAAAAAATTAGAATATACAAAACTATAATTTTGCCTGTTGTTCTGTATGGGTGTGAAACCTTATCTCTAACATTAAAGGAGGTACATGGACACAGGTTGTTTGAGAATATTTGTACCGGAGAGAGATTAAGTGACAGGAGGTTGGAGAAAACTGCATAATGAGGAGCTTCATAACTTGTACTCTTCTCCAAGTATAATTAAAATGATCAAGTCAAAGAGGATGAGGTGGACAGGGCATGTAGCACGAATATAGAGGAGGAATGCATAAAGGATATTGGTGGGAAAGATGGAAAGAGACTACTGGGAAGACGTACCTACCTGCCTGCCGACCTACCTACCTACTTACCTACCTATGGCTCTGGAGTCCTTTGTTCGACCGTGGCCGCTTTTAAGTTCCTTGATCTTTTACACAGTCGGTAGGAATCCTTGGATGGGGATCAGCCCGTCGCAAGGCCACTACCTGCACACACGACAGCACAAATACAAGAAAAAAAAAACGCACACAAACGTCCATATCTCAAATGGGATTCGAACCGACGATCACAGTGTTTGAGCGGGCCAAGACAGTGCATGCATTTTCCCGCGCGACCGCTGTGATGGGCACTGTGCTCTTCTGAAAGGAGCAAATTTTATTTCCTTGAACACTGAATAAACTTACGATTGAGATGGATCTCACTGCTACTGTATTTCGAATTAGAAATACTCACACGCTTAAATCCTGTTAGGTTTACGGAGGGTTGGCCCTGGTATTTCAACTGCAGTTCACAACCGAATGTGAGGCCCCAGAGTAAACTGCTGTATATTTATATGGGAGATGAGTGTGCACGATTCGTGGAGCGGCTGACCTTCATGCAGAGAAAAGTAGAAGTTAGTTCTTGTTGGACACATCGACCCGATGTAGTTTAGGCACCTCTCTGTCTGTTTGTCTGTCTTGTTGGCCTATTTGTTTTTCTGGACTCTTCTCCTCCCCTTTTTAGAATTCCTTCAGATTTTGAAGTGCCCCAATTGAGTGCATAAATGTGTTTATTATAAAGTATATTTCGCGCATGTATCAACATAAACAGGTTTCGTGTACATCCCAGTTTACGCCAACTTTTCTTCCTTACGAAACACTCTGGATCTTTGAAGTAAAACTGACGCCTTTTGTCATGATGTTGTGATATTTCTCACATTTTTTTTCAATTGAGAGCCTGATCAACATGTGAATTGTTTCGGTAGTCTGGAACATAATACTTTGTAGGTCGTTGAAACAGCAGGCATTTAGGGTAAATATTTTACCTCGATCATCAAGGTCGAAGAGTAAGCCAAGCAAGAAACCAACTTGAAGGAGCTAGAAACAAGAAAATGTTTCTCCAGAACATCAGCTCACTTCAAGCGGGTTTTACTTACTTACTTATGGAGCTGAGCCCTTCTTGAGGAGAAGCCAATTCTGCAGCTACTCAAGAATTTCCCAGCATTGTATGGAACCTGAAGTTTCATTACCGTGTTCACAAGAGCCCTCCACTAGTACCTATCCTGAGCTAGATGAATCCAATCCATGCCATCCCATCCTATCTCTTTAAGATCCATTTTAATATTGTCCACCCACCTACACCTTGGTCTTCCTAGTGGTCTTTTTCCATCTGGCTTTGCCACCAATATCCTATACGCATTCCTCATCTCCCTCATTCCTGCTACATGCTCTGCCCACCTTATCCTCCTTGACTTGATCATTCTAATTACACTTGGAGAAGAGAACAAGTTATGAAGCTCCTCATTATGCAGTTTTCTCCAACCTCCTGTCACTTTATCTCTCTTCGATCCAAATATTCTTATCAACACTCTGTTCTCAAACACCCTCAGTCTATGTTCTTCCACTTATGTCAGAGACCAAGTTTCACACATACAGAACCACAGGCAAAATTATAGTTTTTATACTCTTTTTTTTATGTGTTTAGACAACAGACGAGAAGACAAAAGGTTCTAGACTGAAAGGTAGCAAGCATTACCCGAGTTAAATCTCCTCTTAATTTCCTATTTAATCAGATTTCGATTTGTTATCGTCATTCCCAAATATCTGAACTGTGCCACCTTTTCAAAATATCTGTTTTCTATCTTTATGTCATGATTTTGCCCTGCATTTTGGTGACGAGATGCCAACAAATATTTAGTTTTCTATGTGTTCACTTCTAGACCAGCCTCCTTACTAGCGCCAGTTAAAGTTTGTGTGTTTTCTTTATGGTATTGTGACATGTTGCGCAATTGAGAACCCCCCCCCACCAGCAGTGACGCGGCGGGTGAGTCAGCTCTCCGTCATCCCCCCTCCGCACGGTGACGTAACGCGCAACGGTGACGTAAGACGGCGTGAGGTAACAGCGTTGCTACGTAACAGGCACACACAGCCACTATATAAGAGAGCTGCGCTGACTGCGAAGATTATGGTATATTATCTCAAGCGGGTTACGTAACTTTATATCCCAGAAGACAGAACTCTTCTTAAGGCCCGCTGTAGGGGCCTCAATTACTAATATACACATACTCGGAGCATGTGAGAATGTGCTGATGGTCACTGAGGCCTTGTATCTGAAAGCTGTTAATCGTCGCATAACAATAAATTGTAAATCTTTTGTGAATATATAAAATTGAGATTCCTTCGGAGAATAAATTTATGTAGGAGTTGGGTAGGAGCTTTACATAAATAACATTTAAATATTCTTTTCACTTCTCACAGAAAACACAGTACTTCTCCGCTACAGAACCCAGTTGCTTCATGGTTTGTAGAAGTACGAGCATATTCCACGGTAATTCTGAGATTCATAAGAAAGATATAATTTGTTGGTTAAATGCAGAGGCTTCAGAAAAGTGGTACGTATAGTAACCACTGTATGTTAAAGTATTAAACAGCAATATGTCCACTCTCTTGGCGATAAATATTGGACTACTGTGGCTGTAAATCATTTTGTATAGAGACACGAAATAATCATACCGACAAGTTTCATGGAAGTTCATATTTGTCATAAATATGGCGGTGATGTTATTGGGAATGTCTACTAAACAAAGAATCTTACTTTCCGTAACATAACGCCGTATAGTCCGTTGGAAGATAACAGACGCTTCGAAGGAAAATATATCTTCAATTTTCAAGGTTGAATAATGTCTGTTGCATTTCATCGGACTGTATGGGCGTTATATCCCAGAGGTGAGAAATATTCGTAAACACCGCTGTGATAATCTTAAATCCTACACAGCTCAACATATTCTCACCAGTAACACTGGATGGAGGTGAGGGCTCACCTACGCCCACTTTGCCTCGGAATACCCGGTACAAGCTCCGTAGAAATCTGTGTCGGACATAGAGGCTTGAATTTCAGTATCCCTGACCTCACGGAGAGCGTCCAGCGCTGATGTTAAGGTCGCCCGGGCCGTTACGTAAGCGGTACACTGACCGAGGAACCAGTATCTGACGCAACCCACAGCCACTTCTAACTTGTATTCGAAAGGTTCGCGGTTCGTCTCTTCGGACACGACACAGAACTATACTGATTGACATTTTCGTTGCCTTCCTCAGTACCTCCAGGCTATGTCGAGACAGTAACTCCGAACAGACTACCCCCTTATTTCAATATTGCTTCCAGTTCACAAGCCACCATACCGTTCGACACTATACAGCGTGAGTGACAGTACATGCCATAGCTCAAGCGGTTAGTAGTCGGTTTCCCACCGCGGTGGCCCAAGTTCGATCCCAGGCCAAGTCATGTTGTATTTGTTGTGGACAAAGTGACACTGTGGTAGGTTTTCTCAGAGTATTTCGGTAAAAGTAAAAAAAAAAAAAGTAAAGCTATCCCTGTACCAGGCCGTGAAGGCCCATAGGGTTGTGAGACGTTGAGGGTCCCACATTATCTAGACAATCGGCTCAAAGATGGCGGTAAGGTTGTCAGCCTTACGCGCCGGCCGCGCTTTACTCCCCAGGAAGATTGTTTAATTAATTCCTGGTCCTCATTTATGTTAGAGGCTGAGTAAACCCCAGCGCCATAGTGCGGTTGGAAGGATTAGGTCAACTGAAAAAAATCCAGTGACCTCATCGGGACTTGAACCCGCGACCTTACGGCTTGTAGAATAGCCCTTCAACCAACTACGCTACAGCGAACCCTCAGGGTATTTCGGTTCCTCTACCAATTATCATTCCATTAACTCCAAATTAATATATCACCCGGTGCTGGTACAATGAATAGGTCAAATAGTGGACGACAGACCAAGCCGACTCAGTCTAACCCCTACCAAAAAACTAATAAAAGGAAATCTGGCGTGAGCGATTGGCAGCGTCGTCAAACAGAGCACACTGACACACTGACCAAGCTTCTCCTGCTCTCTGTTTATGAACTCTGTACCTTGAAAAGCCATGTCATCGTCTTGCCCTTGTTCCAGTTCATTTGGAGAACAACCACTACATTTGGGGCGCATGGCACATACCGAGCAAACTGACAGAACTCGTCGGTAACATCGCTGAACAACTTGAACATCCTGCACTCTTTTCATTGTCTTATATTTGACGTAGCCGTGACCATACAAAGAACAAGACAAGAAGTATACTTTATTAATCAATCGCAACTACTTGTAATGACGTGCTGTGCCGGTCACGGTAGCTGAGCGGCCTAAGGCATGCACTGCCCTCGCTCGCTCGCTCGGAAGCCGGGATCGTGGGTTCGGATCTGTTTCCTGTGAGGTACGAACTGAATTCTTATATATTATTCTTATACACTGCCGGTCACGGTAGCCGAGCGGTCTAAGGCATGTACTGTCTTCGCTCGCTCGGAAGCTTCGAACCCCACTCAGGATACAAATGTTTAGTGTTTGTGTCTTTGTTTTTCTCTATTTGTGTACATGTAGAAGCCTTGCGACGAACTGATCACCCACCCAAGGAGTCCTACCGAATATCTGAGATCTAGTAAACCGAAGTGAAACGAGAGTTTCATGGAGGTAGGCCAAGGCCCAAATTGGGGCTGTAGCGCCAAAGAGAAAAATGTTACGTGTTATAAGCTATCAGTAACTCAGTAAATCACATGTCCTCTCACTAATATTTGTCAGTACTTTCTTGTTTCATAATTATTCGCGAGATGGTATATGCCTTTGTCAATGAAAGCTGAACAGAAAAATGTTAAGACAACATTAGAGTTTATTTTAGTTTTGTCTGGTTTCTGATGACCGCATTTCTGTATCAGGTACCACCCCAGCAGACTAGTGCAGAATGGGTGTCCTTGATTGCGGGAAGACGTAAATATATTATGTATCTTTTGCAAATTTGATTTGTCTACTCCCGCTCACCTTGGGGACGTTAGACACAAACATTTAAATCAGAGGCGACAGGCACGTGGATCTCGTTTTCCTTTGGCTAAAAGAAAGTCTGAGTATAAGACATTTTGTATGCTGCAAAGTCGTCAACATTATTTGAAGTATATATACAAATATGGACCC